TCATCAACCATTAGCAAACCATTAACCTCTTGTCCTAGCATGGGTCGTACTTCAACAGTAGCCATGAACATGAATAGGGTCTTGCCATATGATATTCCAAATGACATTTTGAAACAGGAACGGAAAATGGATGTGACGACCATTCTTGCTCTAAAAGAGGTAATTATCTTTGTTGTCTACTGCAACCTTTCTGAACAAATACAATAGAAAGGAAACAGTTCTTTACAAAGTATATAACAATTACGACAGAAGTTTGTCCACTATCAGATATACATCAACTATGATTTTTGAGAACATTTTGAAGACTCACTTTTTTAAGATTGCATTTAACTAAATTAAATTGATGATTTTAAAAAATGACATATGTAACTATGCTAGTAAAATATGTAGGTTAAATCTCTATATCAACAACTGTAGAGCGAATTTGATCATATTCATATGCTATTTTGCACTATATAAGTTTTAATTATTATTAAACAAATTTGTACATATATTGTGTTTTGTAGGGTAGTTGGCCGACAATATTTGTGCCAGAGGAAACATTATGTAATTTGTGCAAAGCTGCTCTTGGAAGTGCAAGAAATCATCCTAGAGCAAACTCAAAGTGTTACCTATTAACAAATGGCAATCCTTACCATCCTGTTGAAATTAAAGTAAAAGTTTGCCCCAATAAAGTCTGCAAAGCAATGCATCAAGTTTGGCCAATCAAGTTAGGTACTGTAAGTACAATATTCTAATGGTGTTACTTGCACTGTGAAATATTGTGTGTCTCGGAATTTTGGCTTACAAAATCACAACCTCAAAACCTGTGATATTACTGTATCTAAAGTCACCCATCCTTGTTGGTCTGTTGTTTCCTAAAAAAATGCAAGAAATAGGATAGGAGAGTTACAGTAGCCTATGGTATAATTTGTTGGTGTGCTATTAAGGTGCATATCACATGAGATTTCTTATTTTCTTACATGAAAGAACTCTTTAAGCTGTAGTGTAAGTGTAACTTATTTTTCAGTTGTTTTTATGGTTTGTTCCCAAGATATTTCAATTTGTTTGATATGTAAATGAATGTGAATATGTCTGCTAATTTATGACATCACTTTGGTTGCAAGCTCTTCAAAGTGGTTGAATATCACTGCAATCATCCAAGTCAAGATGGTAGTTTCAAACTTCACTCTCTGGTACTGTAAATGTGATGAAACGCTAGAGAAAAACATGAACTGATATCTACAGTTTTTAGAGTTAATAGATTTACAGTACAACCAGTGTAAGTTGAGCTTGCAACCAAAGTGATGTCATAAATTAGCGGACATATTCACACTCATTTACATATCAAAAAATTGAAATGTCTCTGGAACAAACTATAAAATCATGAAACTAAAAAATAAGTTACACTACAGCTTAAAGAGTTCTTTCATTTAAGAAGATAAGAAGTTTTATGTCATATACACTTTAAATTAACTGAACATTGCATTATGATATGGTTCCAAACACATTCAATATTTTGGCAGTTATTTTGAAAACATGACTGCACAAAATAAATAGTACTTTAATAATAATTACATGCCTATACTGAACATTAATTAAACATTAGTAAATTAATTATCAAATGTTCTGTTAAGGGTATTCTTGTTGTAAATAGTAGTTTCAGGTGATTATAATGTTTTAATTTACGTTTTGAACAGACCTTTTCAATATCTGTGACAAAGCACTGGTTGCACTGGAGGTTCTTTTGGAATTAAGAGAGCTTTTTAACAAAGGTGTTCCAATATCTTCTGCTATCGAGGCAAAACTTACAGCTTGGACGAAGCGGTTAGACAAGGTACCATACAATGTTGTAGCTAAGCCCCCAGTTATACGATACTGGATTTGTATCGGAGCGATATCAATTTAAGGTGTTTTCCAGTCTTATCTGCTCTTACAGGTTTTTATTTATATATGTTATATTATCATAATTTTAAGTGCCAAATTCACTACGAAGCAGTAAAATTTGATGTCGGTCCAATGCGAATCCGGTATCGTGTAACTGGGGCCTAATAATTAATAATTAATATTCAAAGGAAATGAAAATTCAAAGGAAATGAATGTTTAATCAATGTTTGTAAATCGGATAAAGATTTGTGCTGATTTACATAAATTTCAGCTTGATTTTCTCGGCTTAGACAATGTTTATTTTTAAAATTACTTGGCCAATGAACTCATAAGATGGGTCACTTTTTAAGCTTTCCAGATAAAGATCGACTGCTCATGTTTTAACTAGTACTTAAATCTAATTAATAGAGATAAATTCTATCAGGGTTGTATGCTGGATTTTTTCACCAGGGGGGGGGGATATTCAGCTGATGTGCTGATAAAATCTCAAAATACAGTATACAACAAAGTATTATTAAATTACATGTTTACTTGATTAAAAAAGTGTAAATCCTGCTGCACAAACTGCTATGTACAGCTTTGAATTCTGTAAATTCCTTTAAAAACCTTCTATTTATAATATGAGCTGCAAATGGTCATTCATCAGTAGAGACAATGTCTCTACAGATGAATGACCATAATTATTAATTCATTATCATAATATGGTATTTCATCTATATATCTATTAATAAAAAACCAATACTATATCAATATATCAATGGACGTGTGCTGCTTTAAAACTATTATTAATAGTATTGTGTATCTACAGGCTCAACAGTTGTCGTTTGGTCAACAGAAATATCTTCAGCATCTGTTATACAATGGGTTTTACTGTTGGGAAATCATGACAGAACGTTCAATGAACAATGGTATTTGTGGCATAATTGGGCAGTTCTATCTAGGAGATGGTAATCAGAAGAATTGCTGCTCCCTCAAAGGGGTACTGTTATTATTAATATTTGATGTACTGTATATAGTAGTTGTGGTATATAGTACACTATATTGTGGTAGTTAGGTGTAAATCTTTTATCAAGCAGTGATTTGACTAATTTAAGGTTAATCATAATGTAAAAGAACACACTTCGAAAGAAAGTCCAGTGCCATTGGAAAGTTTCCTGGATTTGGTAAAGAAAGATTGGATTGAGCGTATAACATTTAGAATGCAGCTGATGTTCCTCCTATAATAGCACCTGCCTTAAGGGGTGAACGTGTTTATAATTTTGATATGGAGAAAAAGAGTATTTACCTTAACCAGAAAGATAATACTTCAAGTATGTTGAATTTATCATCATCATTTCTTATACAGGAGATTATTTTCTTCTTGCTAGTTGATACACAAGTGTCAAGTAAAGTAAGAATATTTTCTATAAATGAGCAGCTTGGTTCTAATTATTGGCGTGTGGTCATTTGTGGTGCAGGCCAATTAGGAAATTTAGTATTAACAGTTTATATATATTATGGAGCTACTGTACTGTGTGCCCTTGACCTTGTCCTTTACAAATTAATATTAAGCATGTGGTCATGGTATCTGATAAACACTACCTCTACTACCTGGACTACCTCTACTACCTGGACTACTAGGACTACTAGGACTACCAGGACTACCAGGACTACCTGGACTACCAGGACTACCTGGACTACCAGAACTACCAGGACTACCTCTACTACCTCGACTACATCTACTACCTGGACTACTAGGACTACCTGGATTACCAGAACTACCAGGACTACCTCTACTACCTGGACTACCTGGATTACCAGGACTACCTCTACTACCTGAACTACCAGAACTACCTATACTACCTGGACTACATCTACTACCTGGACTACTAGGACTACCTGGATTACCAGAACTACCTCTACTACCTGGACTACCAGGACTACCTGGACTATGTGGATTACCAGAACTACCAGGACTACCTCTACTACCTGGACTACCAGGATTACCAGAACTACCAGAACGACCTCTACTACCTGGACTACCTCTAATACCAGGACTACCTCTATTACCAGGACTACCTCTACTACCAGGACTACCTCTACTACCAGGACTACCTCTACTACCAGGACTACCTCCACTACCAGGACTACCTCCACTACCTGGACTACCTCCACTACCAGGACTACCTCTACTACCAGGACTACCTCTTCTACCAGGACTACCTCTACTACCAGGACTACCTCTACTACCAGGACTACCTCTACTACCAGGACTAAGGGCTCTATCATAACCATGCTAACATTCAGGTTATCTGGAGTATAAAATCATTAAAATCAAACAGAAATTAGTTTTCATTCCATTTGAGTTAGCGTCGTTATAAATTCTATGTAATCTATGTACACTTTTAAATTTAGTATTTAGCATTTCAGCCAATCGCAAGCATCGATCATATAGCTAGGTACTGACCCCAAGACTAATAAAATAATTAATAAACATGCACCATTAAAGTCCATATCTAAACGTAAAACAAAACAGCTTTTAAAACCATGGATAACAAAGGGCTTACTCAAATCGATAAAGGTGAAAAATAAGCTTTTATCTTCAGGTAACATAGAAACATATAAAATCTATAGAAACAAGATCTCCATTTTAACTCGTATAAATAAGAAGCAATATTATCATAACTTATTTACTAATAATATACACAATATGAAGAAAACATGGCAGGAAATTAATAATTTATTAAATAACAAAAAGGAAAACTAAACATACTATTACTCAAGTTAAAAGACCTAATAATGGTAGGATAACTAAAGACCCATATGAGATTTCTAACATATTTAACAAACATTTTGCAACTGTTGGTGATAAGCTAACATCCCAGCTGCCTTCATCGAGCTTATCATGAATATTTAAAGAGACCCACCCCGTCTGGATCTTTTTCATTCAGTCCAATTGCACCAGAGGAAATACAGAATGAAATAGAACTATTATCTTACAATAAAGCTTATGGGTTGTACTCATTTCCAGCAAGAATCCTAAAAAGTGCTCAATCTAGCTGTTTTATCCATACCTCTATCTAGAATTATAAACAGATCAATAGAAATTGGAAAGTACCCGAGTAAGTTGAAATATGCCAAAATTGAATCTATATATAAAAATGACGATGATGAAAATCCAGGAAACTATAGGCCTATCTCTCTTCTCTCAAATATTAATAAAATTTACGAGAAGCTGATGTACAACAGGATTGCCTCTTTTCTGAAAAAGAATACCTTATTTTCTACACAATATGGTTTCTGTGAGAAACACGACACAGCATGCCCTTATAGATATAGTTAGTAAAATTAAAAATAATATGGACAATAAGTTATTTTCTTGTGGTATTTTTATAGATTTACAAAAAGCGTTTGACACTGTTAACCATACAATTCTTCTCAGTAAATTAAATTATGGCATAAGGGGTTTTATTAATAGCTGGTTTTGTTCGTATCTCAATGGAAGATCACAAACAACTCAAATAAGCTCAAAAATTTCAAATAAAGAGCTCGTATTATGCGGTGTTCCACAAAGCTCAGTTCTAGGGCCTATACTTTTTTAATATACATTAATGATATGCATTATTCATCTAATAATTTGCATTTTTCCTTTTTTGCTGATGATACTAATATACTCTATGCAGACAAAAACTTAAAATCACTTCAGAAAGTTGTCAATAAAGAATTGGAACATGTTTCTGAGTGGCTAATTGCAAATAAACTGACCTTAAATATTAAGAAACCGAATTATGTCTTATTTCATTTCTCATAAAAAAAGCTCGATTATACTCCTAATCTCAAAGTCTTCGATCATAAATCTGGTACTCGGATTTCGCTTGAATCAAAGACTTATTAAGTACCTTGGTATTTTATTGGACAGCAATTTATCTTGGAAAGCGCACATAGATTATATTAGTTTAAAGATTAGCAAAACAATCGGCATAATATCAAGATTAAGGTATTATTTACCCCTACCAATTTTACTGAACATTTATCGTTCTCTTATATATCCATATTTAACTTATGGACTAGTAGTTTGGGGTCAAGCAGCTCAAATGTATTTTAATAAAATTTTAGTCCTTCAGAAGCGTGTCCTGAGAATTATGAACTTCTCAACGAACAGAGAACATGCAATACCACTATTTATCACCTCTAATGTTCTTCCAATAAAAATGCTCTATTATAAATCAGTATCAATTTTAATGCATGAAATCAATAACAATTTAACTCCTCCTAATATAAGCAACTGATTTAAGAGGATAAGCTCAATCCATTCTTATAACACTAGAGCATCAAAAACTGAAAACTTTTATTATCAATATTCGAGACTAAACTGTCCGAGGGATTCTTTTTCCTGTGTTGGTACGAAAATATGGAATAACATTCCTGACAACTTATGTAAACAATCTTTAATATTATTTAAGAAAAGTATTCATCGAATTCTCTTGCAAGTTCTTGTCGAGGCGGATTTTTATGTTGATATTTCTGAAATGGATTATAGGATCACCAAAATTCAAAACAATTAAAGTGAATTTACGAACATTCATACGACCAACTTCAGTTATCCAAGGCATGACAACTTTATATCAATTTGGCAACAGTTTTTTACCTATCTTTATAAAAAAAACACATCTTTTTGGACTTCATTTATATGTTATTAATATCTAACCTATAACAACACCTGCCCAGATTAGCTTATGCTATTTGCGGATGTGTTAATTTATGTAAATGTGAACCTAAATTAAATAAATGAAATGATGAAAAAAAAGATAACCTAATATTCAGGTATAGGTATAAAAGGGTGAAATAAGAACTTTCATCTTTGGTTGTTTGTCAGACGTGAGAAACCACATTAGTGCCATTTTGTCGCGCATGCTATTTTATTAATATAAATACCTCAAAACCATAAACTTTTAGTTCAGAAAATTACAAAGTTTCCCATAGACATTATTAAAAATGTTCTAGTGAAGCGATTTCATGATAAATAAGCGAGCAATGGGCCCAAAACAATGGCTAAATTATGTTTTTGTTAGGATTGCTCCCGCAAAGGAAGCCATTTCAGAGAGAAACGACATTTTGCAAACAACTGTCGCGACCTATTTTGATAACTCCTCCTTCTGATTCAACATATAGTTACTAGAAAATGAGGTTACATCAACATTACCATCTGCCTTATTGATTTAAAGTTTTATGGGGATTGTCCGAAAGATAAGATACTCTATTCATATTAACTATGTTAAATTATGCATGCTATGACGTAACACAGCGGGGGGGGGGGGGGTTTGGGATTATATTGAAACTGTGATTCTGAGAGAAAAGTAACTTTGTATTTCGAGTGATTAAACCTTTAAAACTAGTGATTTGTTGTGAAAACTTTCTTCAAACAAGAATTTCCAACACGTGGCACCCCTGGATGGGACAGTGAGATCTCGCAAGTGATTTTTAGAGCGTAAATCAACGTAAACAAGCGATATTTAGCGATGGCCGAGGCAGATTTAAAAACCAAAATAACACAGTTGCAAATGGCAACCGAGAAAAGTGATGCAATTCTTAATGGAAACAAGAAACGAGCGATTGCCAGACACGGAGAGAGCTTGAAAGAAACAATAGCTGCGGTAAATAAATTGCGATTAACAGTCGAAGCAGAGAAAATTTCCAAAGGAACAAGTGCCGAGGAGATCGAAGAGTGGAATAAAACCGTAGAGAATACGATGGAAAAAGCCGACGGTATGGTTGAAATTTTAGAGCAATGGTTAGACGAACAAGATGCGAGAAAAGAGAAAATACAACTCAAGGAGAAAGCAGAAAGAGAGGAAATAGAACGGGAAAAACAACTACAATTTGAGCTAAAATTACACGAAGCTAAGGTGAAATTACAATCTGAAATTACACCGGAAGTAAGTGTGCATACAAGCGGAAGTAAGCAAAACATTGAAGTGAAATTGCAAAAACTTCATATAACAAAATTTAACGGTACTTATGCAGATTGGCCAAGATTTTGGAACCCTGTTTTCAGAAACTATTGACAAATCGGGCATTTCTCCTATAAACACATTCGCCTATTTACAAGAACTGTTATGTGATAAAGCAAAAAGGTCAATTGAAGCCCTACCCCATACTGCTGAATGATACGACTGAGCAATTTCCATCCTGAAAGATCAGTTCGGAAGGAAAGCGAAGTCGTGAAGACCGTTGTGAAAGAAATATTGGATCTACCACATATTGCTATCTACCACATATTGCTACAGCCAACACTAAGAAAATAAATGAGTTCTATGAAAAATTGGCTTACTGTGTGCAATCGCTAGAAACACTCAAACAACTTGATGCTATTAATGGAACAGTCTCCATGATATTAGATAAGCTGCCTGCAATAAGAGGTGATCTTGCACAAAATGATTCCACATGGGAAAAGTGGGACTTTATACAGTTTACTGATGCCTTACAACTCTGAACCAGCGAGATCGACAAGACACAATGACGAGACATTACTACCAGACACAACAAGGTAAAACCGAACAGTCGAGTAAGAAACGCCCTTGTGTATACTGCGATGGGCATAACCATCGATCATCAGAGTGTGACTCGATTAGAATGGCAGACCAACGCAAGGCTATTTTGGCAAAGAAAAAGTTATGCTTTAATTGCACTGGTGTGGCACACAGAGCGTCAGAATGCAGGAGCACAGTGACATGTAAGAACTGCGGCAAATGACATCATATTTCAATTTGCGATGAGACCGGTCCACCAAAACCAGTGTTAACTGTGCATATGGAGGAAGACCAGCAAGTAATCTACCCCACTGTGTTGATTGAAATTGATGGGATCAAGACACATCATGCCCTTTTAGATACAGGGGCTAGTAGTTCATATGCGTCAGCAAAGTTGATTGAAATACTTCACAAGAAACCAAATCAAGTAAAGACAAGAAGGGTGGACATGATGTCGTAGAGATATATTCAGCTAATATTCAGTCGGTTGATGGTAAATTTAACATGGAGATCGAGTTATCTAAAGTCCACAAACCACAACTTTTGATGATAAACAACCCGAATTTCAAGGAACTTTGCGAAACATACACCCACCTTGAGGGAGTGAAAGTCAACGAAGATCCAGCAAACCGAGATCAGATTCCAATCCACATAGTCCTCGGTGCGAGTGAATATGCGGCTGTCAAAACACGGACAGCTCAGAAAGTCAGACAGCCAGGGCAACCTGTAGCAGAAAGGACCCTACTGGGATGTGTAGTGTCTAGCATAATTAACATTAATTATGGACCACGAGGAAGTAAGCAAGATGGCGATATAGATGCAACTGTAAGATTATGTTCTGTTAGAGATTATTAAAGAAAGCATAGATAACAATGTTATAGACAACATTATATTGGCGACGAGGATCGTTTCATATACAAGTACCTCAAATGGCGACTAGCTTACCAGAATTTGCTTCTTTTGACGCCGAGAATCGGGAAAATATCGAAATTCGATGGCAACGATGGTTCATGCGATTCGAAAATCTACTGATTGCACTCGATATAAGACAAGAAAAGAAAACGAGCGTTATTATTATACTATATCGGTGAAAGTACTCTAAATATCTTTGAAACACTGCCCGAGACAGACAAAGTAAGACGACAACCATGAATATTGGTGATTATGTACTCATAAGACAACAAAAGCACAACAAATTTACCCCGAATTTTGATCCCAAACCGCTACGAATAATCACAGTAAAAGGAACGATGATTACTGCAGAAAGACCAGGATTCGCTATTACTAGAAACCAATCGTTTTTCAAACCTACTAAAACAACTGGGCTGTCTTCTGAAGATGAGGAGGAAATGGAAGATAGTGATGAACATGAAGAACAACGTGATATTGGAGACAATGAAAATAACAACAATCACAACCAAGATGAACAACAAAATCTAGAACGACAATATCCAAGGAGAGAACGAAGAAGGCCGAACTATTATCATTAAGCCTTATTGTAAATAGAAAGGGCTGACAGTGACAGTCATATAACTTGTTGGACAATCAACAATTTGTCTTAGCATTCATATTCTGTTTTGTTAAATACCAACACATAGATATAGTGGTAGATGATTAACAATGAACTGCAATTGTGAAAAACTCTGAGAAAAGGAGGGATGTAGTGTCTAGCATAATTAACATAATTAACATTAATTATGGACCACGAGGAAGTAAGCAAGATGGCGATATAGATGCAACTGTAAGATTATGTTCTGTTAGAGATTATTAAAGAAAGCATAGATAACAATGTTATAGACTACATTATAGGATGGACTGTTATGTCGTCTGGGAGAGAGGACAAAGATGGTCCAGTGCTATTTACTCAATCAACCTCCAACGACTACGAGCAACTCTGTGCCCTGGACGTACTCAGACTTGCAGACACTCATGAGAATGACCAACAAACTGTCTATACAGAGTTTAAAGAGCAGTTAGAGAGAGCTGATGCTGGGTGGTATCAAACTGACTTGCCCTGGAAGGGCAACCATCCAACCTTGCCAACAAATGAAATGGGTAGCAAGAAACGGCTGGAAAACTTAATCCGGAAGCTGAAGAAGAATTAACTATATGATGAATACAATGCAATTATTGAAGAGCAATTACAGAAGGGCATACTCGAAGCTGCACCTGAGATACCAACTGGAAATGAGTACTACATCCCCCACAAGGCGGTGGTAAAGAAAGAAGCAGAAAGCACAAAACTTCGCATTGTCTATGATGCGTCAGCAAGGGAAGATAACACCAAACCTTCGTTAAATGACTGCCTGCACCCCGGACCATCCCTACAAAATCAACTTTGGGACATTCTAGTCAAATCACGATTTAATCCTGTTCTACTCACTGGTGACCTCAAGAAGGCGTTCTTACAATAAGAATCAAGCAGGAAGAGAGGAACTCTTTGTGCTTCCATTGGAAGGAACCGGACTGTGATTAAAGTCTACCGGTTCACAAGAGCATTATTTGGACTTACATCCTCACCATTCCTCCTTGCTGGAGTTCTGAACCAACATCTCAATGCCTGGAAGGATCGGTATCCTGAACTTGTGAAAGAATTACGAGAAGGGCTCTAATGTCGATGACTTAATGACCGGTGGTGTTACAGTGAAAGAAACAGAAGAAAAGGTCATGGCAACGGAATTGTTCGAGGATGCAACATTCTCCATCCACAAATGGCACTTCAACGCAAAGGAGCTTGAAGGAGATATTGGAACATCAGTTGAGTCTGAGGAAGAGAGCTATGCCAAACAACAGCTTGGAGGGGGAGAAGTTGGTGGGAAATTACTGGGATTACCGTGGAACAGAGAAAGAAACACATTTAGCATAAGCCTTGATGTGAACACTTGCACAACGAAGAGAGAGGTTATATCAGAGATTGCTAAAGTGTATGATCCTTTGGGTCTTGTATCACCAACTATGCTTGTTGCTAAGTTACTCTATTGGGACATTTGTGACTCTAAGATATCGTGGGATGGACAGTTACCAGAACCACTCTTGAAATGATGGAAGAGTTGGAGAAGCTCGTTGACTGAAGAATTGACAGTGCCCAGACCTCTTACACCTCATCACGTTCCTGTCACTGGTATCGAACTGCACAGCTTTGGAGATGCAAGTTCCCAGGGAGTTTGTGCAGCGGTATATGCCGTCGTCCATCAAGCTGATGAAGTAACACAAGGACTTGTCTGTGCCAAATCTCGAATTGCCAAATGTAACCAAACCAATCCCGTGTTTAGAATTAATAGCTGGTCACATGGCGGTTAACCTTGTATCAAACATAGAAACAGTACTTAGCAATTACCATGTGGAGACCTTCTGCTGGCTTGACTCGACCGTGGCCCTTTACTGGATAGGAGACTGTAAAGGAGATTATCGTCAGTTTGTGGCGAACCGTGTGCAGAAAATTCAACAGCATAGTCAAATAAGCTGGCATCACGTACCAACAGCACAGAATCCTGGGAAGTTGAGGCAGAGTTGTGGCAACTAATCGACTGTGGAGAGAAGGCCCTACATGGCCTATAGACGTAACCTTAGAGGCAACTGCTGAAACAAGAGCCGAAGCCAAAGTGAAACAAGAAATCTTAGCAGTAGGATCGGTTGAGAAAGATGAGTTCGACCAGTAGCTCGACAAATTCAGCTTGGTTAAAGTCCTACGTATTGGAGCCTGGATACAGCGCTTCCTTGATAACTGCAGAACGAAGCCCAAGGAGAGAAAGAGCGGTCTGATCGATACGGAAGAACTTGAATGAGTGAAATTGTGGTGGATAAAGCGTGCTCAGCTCCAAGCACAACAAGACGTACGATTTGAAGCTGATCAACTACAGTTAAACCTTCAACCCAATAACCGAGGGATCTTAGAGTGTCGCGGTCGAATAGTCTCGGAATATTCAATTTACCGCGTCCACCATGCACACATTTCAACCCTCCACGGTGGCATTGGAATGACAATGGCGAAATTACGAGAATATAAATTGGGTTCCGCGATTGCGCCAGCTGGTCAAGAAGATAAGATCGAAGTGCCATGGTTGCAAACGATTCCAGGCGAAAGCGTTCCAAACACCACCACCGGGAAAACTCCCAAGTACGAGAACACAAGGAACTGCACCTTTTCAAGTGTTAGGCATAGATTTTGCAGGACCAATTAAGTACCAAGTCAATGGCAAGAAAGAGAAGAAAACTTATCTAGCACTATCTGCATGTAGCTTAACCAGAGCCGTACATCTGGAGTTGGTAAGATCATTAGAGATGGAGGATTTCATCATGTGTTTTAAGAAATTTATTGTGAGAAGAGGGAGACCGGAACTAGTTTATTCAGACAATGGAACAACATTCAAGGCAGCGGCAAAGTGGTTACAGAAGGTGAGAAAGGATGAGCAGTTTAATCTCGAAACTGGAGATCAAATGGCAATTCAATCTGAGCCACGCTCCCTGGTGGGGGGCGGGGGCAGTTTGAGCGGCTAATCGGTTTGTTTAAGAGAGCATTCTACAAGTCAATTGGGAATGGTGTGCTCAAATGGTCGGAGCTAGAAGTAGTTTTGGACATAGAGGTAGCGTTGAACAATCGTCTACTCACATACATGGAAGATGACGTCCAACAACCAGTCCTCACACCAAATTCGTTGCTCCAAGTTAATCCTTGCCACCTGCCAGAGATAGACATATCAAATTGAATGCAAGGACCTGAAGAAACGGGCAAATGTTCTGAAGAGGTGCAAACTGTCGATGTGGAAGAGATGGAGTCAGGAATATGTGAGAAGCCTCTGTGAACAACATCGGAATTTGGGACGACAGAATGACCAGTCGTATCCAAAGGTTGGTGATGTAGTTGTTGTGCGAGATGAGGATCAACCACGGAACCATTGGAGAATAGCTGTTGTAACCCGAATGATACATGGAAAAGACAATGTTGCACGGGGAGCTGTGTTGAAGACTGGAAAAGGTACATTAGAACGTGCTGTTCAACAGTTATTTCCCCTCAAACTTTCCTGTGAACCACCCCCTTAACCCAAACGCCCCAAAATACCGCCCGAGAACCACGAGAGCAGCTGTTACTGAAGCAAGGGAGAGAATTCGACAAATTGCGAGTGAGGAAGATTAGGTGAACAATATGGAACTTTGTTATGAACAATATGGAACTTTGTTATGAACCTTTAATGAACTTCTAAGGACTCTTATAGGTTATAGAACGTTAAGTAACATGTATATCATTTCAAGAATATACATGGGGAAGTGTGTCCGAAAGATAAGATACTCTATTCATATTAACTATGTTAAATTATGCATGCTATGACGTAACACAGTGGGGGGTTGCATGCAATGGGATTATATTGAAACTGTGATTCTGAGAGAAAAGTAACTTTGTATTTCGAGTGATTAAACCTTTAAAACTAGTGATTTGTTGTGAAAACTTTCTTCAAACAAGAATTTCCAACAGGATATAAAACCAAATACAAAAAGCATTTTAAAAGCTTTAGAACTCAAGTGTATAAGGTGCCAAAAATGACAATATTTTATAAATAAAATATATACGTCTACAAAAATACTTATGGTTACCTACACAAATTTATATCGGAACATCATTATTTAAGGCTACTAAAAAATATTTACGGCTACGAAAAATATTTACGGCTACGAAAAAAATATTTACGGCTACTGCGCCGGTTTTGTAAGGTCAGCGGAGTGCATATGAATGATAAGCGCACGCGCCAAAACGCTATCTGGGAATAGTTAAAATGGAAAACGCAGACATCGATTTATACAAGTTTTTTCTTGAGGAGATTCCCTCACTTTACAACCAGGCTCAGCGGACTCTTCATTGTAATGATATCAATGTCTTGGAATTCTTTGAAAGACGACTGGATGATCACATCCATGTTATCAAAGCTGTCATCGATCAATGCCAACAAATGACTGAAATGAGAGTCAACGAGGAGTTGATTGAACTCTTGCTTACTGTTCATCGTCAAGTCAACTGTTTGTACAAAAACGTGCAGGAACTTTGTTTTATGCACCGCGATTACCATTTGGAACTGGGATTTGTGTGCCCTGTCGAACAAATTGAACATGCTGGCAGACCAAGATTTCATGTACCGCCACAAATGATATCTGGTTTGTACGACATTCATCGATCTTGGGTAGAGGTTGCAAGAGAGGCAGGCGTTTCTTACCGAACGCTTTTACGAAGACGTCACCAGTATCAGCTTCCTGTGGCTCAAGTTCGCGGCCCAAGAAACAACTTTTCAGAAATTTCTCAGGACCATTTGTGCGATGCTGTGACACAAGTGTTGCATTTATTACCAAATGCTGGCGAAACGTACATGATTGGAGCTTTAAGGAGCCGAGGAATTTTTGTGCAGAGATGGAGAATTCGAGAAGCTATTTATACCGTGGATCCAGTCAGCAGGGCCCTGAGGTGCCAACGAGCAGTGACCAGGAGATCTTACAATGTTCCTTGTCCAAATGCTCTATGGTAAGAAAAGGGGCATAGTTTCTTTCCGGAATTGAAACATCTCATAAAGTTTATACAAGTAAAGCCCTTCAAGTTGTTATTTAGTTTGCACAGAAGAGAAATAACTGTTTATCAGTATTGCCTACAATTGGGCATTATTTAAACATTTTAAGTTCTTTCTAACTCTAAGTTTGTATAAAGTTTGAATGGTGGAATAATTATAATTGATTTAATTGCTCTGTGAGAACACGATGTGATTATGTGACAAAGCTTGTAATATATATATTATTTGCACTGATGAATTTAGCTTACAGGTTTGACAGCTTTGCAAAATAAATAAATGTGGTGTTTCCACAAAACAAATCAATACAATATTTTAAAACCGCCATTCTTGTTCTAGGCACGTAGATGGCCATCATAAACTAATCCGCTGGCGATTTGTTGTGCATGGGGGGATTGATGGATTTAGCCGATGCATAGTGTACCTATGCTGCAGTACCAATAACAGAGCAGCTACAGTGTTATCATTGTTTATCAATGCAGTGGATCATTTTGGTTTACCGTCTCGTGTCAGGTCGGATATGGGCACTGAGAATGTGGATATAGCCAGATACATGTTGCATCACCCCAACAGAGGACCAAACCGAGGGAGTATGATCACTGGAAAAAGCGTTCACAACCAGAGGATAGAGCGTCTCTGGTTAGAGGTGAAAAAGAATATTGTCTTGTACTATCGAAACATATTTTACTACCTGGAACAATGCAACCTCTTAAACCCTGATAGTGAATGTGACTTGTTCATTTTGCATTATGTGTTCTTGCCACGTATAAACAGGTCTCTGATTGAATTGGTTAATGTTTGGAACAATCATCCTTTGAGTACTGCTGGGAATCGTTCACCCTTACAGCTGTGGCACTCTGGAATAAATGCTATGACCAACTCTGATTATCATGCTATTGAAGGTGTTTTTGCAGCCCCAGAAGACTGGAACGAGTATGGAATTGGAGGTGGGCCCCCACCCAGTTGTGATACTGATAATAATGTGCAAGTGCCAGAAGTCAACTTTGAACCAACTGAACAACACATTCAGCAGTTGCAAGAGCACATTAATCCATTATATGATGATGGTAACCATGGTATTAACGTGTATGTGGCTGCTATTCTTGTACTAGAGCCTGAAAGTTAAAACTGAGGAAGACCAAGGACAAGTTGAATTTGTATATTTATTTAGCTTAAAATCAAGTATTAAATGTTCAATAATGTTACTAACAGCATAAGTCAGCTAAATCCTGTAAAACAGGCCTCGAAGTAAATGCCAGTCACCAATCACATCAGGTAAATGTTTGACACTTTGACTGTTAAATGTTGTTGTTTACTAGACACTCATGACAGTATAATTATTAAAATCAATTGAGAAATTACATACATGAGCACAAATTTGTCCCCCCCCCCCCAGTCTTCTGTTTACTTCAGTGAAAAGATCACTTCTCAATACAATACAATACATGACAGGCATTACATCTTGCATTATAAATCTTTGATGACGGTTAGAAAATTGCTTTTCGGTAAAGAGTGTTATCCGGCTTTCATACAACCGGTCCCAGTAGTACACCTTTTATTTCAAGGCATGCTTTAATTTATGCTGCTGTTAGATTTTTATGCTACAACAAAACTCAACATTCTTTTGTTCTTGTTTCAGAAATTTAAATGATCAAAACAAATTTAAAAGCAACCTTAGCAACAAATCTAACTTTACTGGTTAGTTACATCTTTCCAAAGCCTTCTTTTGCAAAAGAAATACCCTTATCAAGGTATTTTTTAAAGCTCTCGTAGTTAGAATGAACAACTGGGATTGAAAGAACCATTGGGCAAGTCTTCGCTTCAGGCAGCAATTTGGTGCTAAGATCTTCTAAGTAATCCACAGTTAACTTTTGTGCAGTTGTTGAAGGTAATGCAGGATAACTTGTCCAGAATTGTACCAGATCACTCAAGGTTTCTTGGTCACAGTCCTTGTCTACAAACAAATTTAGGAATATTTAGTATTAAAAACTAAAATAAAGGTAAGGTCAGCTTGCACACAAGAGTTTTCATATGAACTTATAATATTTCTACTAATGACACATGTACATAAAACTCACCTCTTTTACCCAACTCATCAATATACTGGTCAAACCACAGCTGTGCCTGGACACATTTCTCATCAGTTGATTCAAAATACTGTAAATGCATTTTTAGTGCACTAGCAGATACATCATTTGAATATGCAGGAAAAACTCTACCCTGTAATTCTGGGAATCTTTCAAGCAGACAAAGCAGGGTGATGCCAGTCACATTAACTTCAGCAAGCCCCTTTCTGATATCATCCAACGCAGGTAACCGTTTTGTGATGACCTCATGAACTAGGCAACATTCGTATGCAAAATGTCTTTTCTGCTCTGTCACTTCCAAGTGTGGATAACCAGCAGCTTGAAGTTCTTCAATAATGCAAAGAGAAGACTCTGGAAGAGTGAAATCTGCCAACTTTGCACTGTTACAACACAAGAGCTGGAAGACAGGAACAAGAGGTTACTTAAGGATAACATCGGTCTGTGTTCACAAACCTCCATCCCTCACTGAAGGCTGGGGACATTTATTCTCTATATATCGGACATATTAATTAGTGGTCAAAGATTTTACACTACCTGAAATGTTATCTAGAAAATCACCCTTTTGGAACAGTACATATGCACTGTATACTACAGGGTGTCCCCAAAAAAGTGACACTGTATAAATTTTCCTATTGATGTTAAGCACAGGATTTCTTGCGACTGGTAATTAAAAATTCAATTCAATTGTGTTCAAGCATTTAAATTATAACGATAGGATATTTCTATTAATTAGTGCTTGGGGGACACCCTGTATTCTATATAGTAACTTGTTCTGATGCTGTGACAGACTAACAGTACTAGTGTAGAAGAAACGATAATGAGCATTCTCGTCCCACAATCATTGAAAGATTTTCAGGCAAAATTGTCACTAATATCCTAAAGCTGAGGGTCACTTGCAGGGGCGTAGGAAGCATCAAAAGATTGGGGGGGGGGCGGTTTCAAGAGGCACTTTTGGAATGAAAAAACACCTGAAAAATTTTCTGCAAATGTTGGGGGGGGGGGCGGGACTGCAATCATACAAAATGCAATCTGAACAACATATTTCATGATATTTGTGATGTTACTCTGAGTGCGTATCCACACCGGGCGGGCTTGAAAAATATGCCCGGCCACGGTGGGATTTGAACCTACGACCTATTCCAAAGGTCGTAGGTTCGAATCCCACCGTGGCCGGGCATATTTTTCAAGCTCGCCCGGTGTGGATACACACTCAGAGGAGTTTAACTATAGTGCGAGGCAGCGAGGCACGATGCGAGGCATGCGGAAAACGTGCGAGGCATGCGAGGCGTGACGAAAAACGTGCGAGGCATGGTCAAAACGTGCGAGGCATGGTCAAAACGTACGAGGCATGCCTAAAACGTGCAAATTCTTTGTTTGCAAAGATTTCGACAAACTGCGAGGCGTGCGAGGCATGCGAGGCTTAGAAAAAAGTCAACGTTTTAAAGTTTTTGGAAAAGTTAATTTTTTTATTTCTCCCGGGTTGTGAAATTTCTTGCGGCTTGACTAAAGTGGCCCAACTTGAGCCACAGGAATTGAGTGGGCGCCGGTCGGAAAACGTTTGGTGAGTTCGCAGGCTAGGGCACAGAATAAAGACACCTAGAAGATCGACTCGGCGTTGCTAGTTAGTGCGCTTATGGGAGGTATCCCCCCTGAACGTCCGCAATTTTGAATATTATCAGGGGGTGAATGCCTCTCATAAGCGCACTGGCTAGGAAACGCTAGGGCACTCTATGCCTTAATATGAACAGTCTTTTCTAGAAAATAAGTAAAAAAGCACAGGATTGAAGAAGATTCTAAAATTTTTATCGCCCAATCGAGAGTCTAAACGCAGTTGATATCGAGACAAATACGCAAAGAACGAAGCACCGGAAGCGGACCATATTAAGGCATAGAGTGCCCTAGCCACAGAATAGAAAATGCTGCAACCTCTTTCCTAGCCAGTGCGCTTATGAGAGGCATTCACCCCCTGATAATATTCAAAATTGCGGACGTTCAGGGGGGATACCTCCCATAAGCGCACTAACGTAGCAACGCCGAGTCGATCTTCTAGATGTCTTTATTCTGTGCCCTAGCCTGCGAACTCACCAAACGTTTTCCGACCAGTGCCCACCCAATTCCTGTGGCTCAAGTTGAGCCACTTTAAGCCCGTTCTCCACTAGGCGAATTTATTCGCGCGAACAGATAAAAAGTAGGAAGCGATCCTACTTTTTCGCCGCGAATTTTTTCGCCGACCAATCACGTTGCCGGATTTCGGTTTTCGCTTCGCGTCGCGCGAACAAATTCGCGTAGTGGAGAACGGGCTTAAGTCAAGCCGCAAGAAATTTCACAACCCAGGAGAAATAAAAAAATTAACTTTTCCAAAAACTTTAAAACGTCGACTTTTTTCTATGCCTCGCATGCCTCGCAGTTTGTCGAGAGTTTGTCGAGACCCCACTCAGAGTAACATCACAAATATCATATTCGCCTGAGTACATAAGACCAACACAGAAAAAAAACATATTTCATGTTGGCAAAAGGCACTTTACCAACTGGAGGGTGGGCAATTTTTCGTGTTTTTTGAAGGAAAAATAATTGCAATAAAAAAATGCAATCTGAACAACATTTTTCACGAAGGCAAAGCTAGGGCACTTTGCCACTCAGGAGACAGGGCACTTTTTTCTGAAAACTTGGGGGGTCTTGCCCCCCCCCCCCGATCTTACTCCCCTCATCACTAATGCCAGTAATTTGCGCCATTTGGCAGTCTCACTGGGGTACCATTTCCACCTGAAAAAATAGAAACCAGGCTACTGTAGCCAGTGTTATTTATTAGTTTAAATTCAATGCAAACTTAAAATATGGCTTGATCTGTACAAACCTCTTGAAAGGTTTTCTGTAAAACAGGATCTGATAAATCCTCAAGTGAGAGGTGTTGAACTGCAGCATCACGTCTGCCTGTACAAATGTAAGCAATTGCAGCAGGAGATAAACCTGATATACCACAGCAACCATTCAATACTGAGTGAAGGATCATCTTTCCTATTAAAACAAATAGTCCCCCTGATAGCAGATCATAGTCGTGACGAGGCAACAAATGTCCTTGCAAGCCTTCAAACAGATTTATACCATCTGCTTGGCCCTTAGTCAGCCTTTTCATCAACAGACAGAATAACTCTCTCGTGGGGCCTCCACTGTCCACTCCAAATTCATCAACAAACTCAACATTCAGAGGCTTTCTTATGTCGAACGCAGGGTTTTTGTATTTTCTAATCATTTGAGCAAGGATGTCAGAGTCCCTTTTCACTTGTACATCCATATCCACATGGAATTTTTGTACACCCTGCTCTACAAACTTTTGCAAGGATATTCGTGCATCACTTGATGATGACAAAATTTTGGAGGCTGCTAAAGGTGTATCCCATATACTTCGTTGAAGTATTTCCTCACTGCCACTGGAGCTATCCAAATCCTCATCTGTGCCAAAAATGAATAACAAAAAATAATTATATAAATGCTTAAATAAAACACGCTTGCCAAAAATACATGGTGTGCAATGGTATGTGCCAATTTGGTTGTAATTTTGATTTTCACGATCGATCCATCTAGCTATGACGTAAAGTGTTCCATGGACATTAGAACATATCATCATGCAGTGATGTAGCGAAGATATTGGCATGATTACAATTTATGTTACTTAAAAGTGTTTTTTCATGAGTTGCATGTGTTCCGTTTGAAAAGAATATATATTAGCACAACTTCAAAATACAACCATTCACTGGAATATATTGTGAAGCAAAGTTTGAAAATCTGCCATTTTGTACTATATAGAGATAGAACAAAATGGCAAACTTTGAACCACTATTTCTTAGTTCGCATTTTGCAGTGAACTAGCTGTCGTATTGTATGGTCGAGTTATGATGAAACATTTTGTACAAGCAGTATCAAAATTTAAGAAGTTAATATAACAAATGTTGGCACTTCAGCATGCATTTTTGGCAAAAGTGGACTGCAATTTAATGTTTCAGAAGTTCTTCAAGACCAAACCTATATTTCCAAGGAGAGTATTAACAGCTTTCTGAACATCTCCATTGTTTTCGTGCAGAGCTTGTGTGATACATTCAATGCTAACACCAGGAAACATTTCCTTCAATGAATTCACTTTGCTTTCGAAGGAGCTGGAGGGCAGTGGATCACTTTCACCATGTTGTTGAAGGTGCACTGTGCTGGTGCTGCAGTCATCTGCTTGGTGGTTAGTCTTCATTGTACTTGTAGATGTTGCTTCAGCATACCTTCTTATGTCACTCGAGCTCAACTGAAAAGAACTTTCAGATACAAGTTCTTCTTCATCTTGACTGGACCTAAATTCATAGCACCAAACACATACCAATTAAGAGTCATTTTAAATATACTTCAAACAGTACAGAATAAAAGCAAAAATTAGGAGGAAAGATAGAAACACATTCAATCCTTGTGTGTATAGTGTATGTGCACAGACATGACACCCCAACTCAATGGTAATCCAGACCGTAACTCTAACCTGAGAACCCAGTGGCTCATTTTGCTGATATATGACTGAGTACCAACTTAATTGGCTAAATTAGCCTAATTAAAGTTAACTTTACTTGGGAGTTGGGATGGCTTCTGACTTCGTCTAAACTAACAAGCTCCATTAGGGAGGGAGGGGAGCTAGCCCAAAAACCCACATCTTTATACTTTCAAGCTGGCAGCAGAGATTACACCCCACCATTTCTCACATCAAAAATTCATTGTATAATTCTAATTGAAAATTGCTGATCTGGTCATCAGTTAATTAAGTTAAATTGCATTAAATGCACGGCATTCCATACTTTCTATTAAATAGGCTCCATATTCTGGAAGTTAAATTTACAGTATTTTATGTTGCTTAGTATATAACCCCCCCCCCCCGATTAGAGTGTCGTTTCACAGCTTTTAAAGCATGCATGAATCTACATTTAAACTCTTTAGCAAGTGGTGAGTCGGAATAGAATAATACATATAATGCAGCCCTCCCCTTTTTGTTGCATTGCAGTCAATACTAGGCCTTAAATATCTGACATGAAAACAGAAAACACTTACACTAATTCAGGATCATGATAAACTGGTTTATTGTCTTCAATTACCTCCACCTCCTCCTATTGTAAGTACAAGAAAAAGGGTTAAGAAAAGCCTTTTAGCCATGTACTGATATTTATAAGACTATTAAAAATGATTACAACAGATAATTAAATTAGTCACAATACAATTAGAACCTTGACCTAGTTCCAATTTTGTAACTATAATTTATAATTAATCACACAAGATTTATGATGTGTTTCTCAGGCCTGTAAACATAAAAAAGCACAACATTGTCTTGGAATGGCATTTGGATACACACAAATTCCAAGATGCAATATGTACTGCATTAATATGCACAGATTAAAAGTCTTTTAGAACAGCAAACTCATCACTCGTTTCATTTTCCACATTCAAACACAATTTTATTAATTTAATTTGGGATAATTAATTAAACAAATCTTACTTGAGTAAATAACAGTTCCTGGTCATCATCAGAGCTCATTAAAGACATGCATGGCAACAACCAGATGGTTCTTTGAGTAAATATTCTGTTTATCATTTCACCAGTCAAAGTTTGGTTTGATGTGAGCTGTGGTTCCACTAGCTCATTTCCCATGCCCATCATGATCTTGATCCTGGAAAAATTAACAACTAAATTAGCAAATAATTCTTGTAAAAGTGATTATTGTTCAAATAATTTATATGATTCCCAAACCCAGTGTTTTGCATTACCATGTCCATGGTCTATTGCAAATTTTGATCCCCCCCCCCTAGAAAATTTCAGGGTTTTTAAAATATTTTCCATGGAGGTATACATGACATGTCTAATTTTCCAGAGAGACTGACATGAATTTGGTATAAAAAAATTAAAATTTGTCTGCAATTCCCATGGGGTGAGTGGGTAGGGCTCATTGCATGACAAAGTGTTCATGCAATTTATGCTTAAATTTAAGGTACTTACTTCGACTGATTGTCCAAAACACCGTCAATACTCTCCAGAGGCTTCTTGAATGCCTCTTCTAGTTTTTCCTGCACCTCATTAGCAGACCATAACTTATCAAACTCAAATGAGCTTATAGCGTGCCCCAAACGCTGCAGTTCCGCTTTAGCCCCACCTCGAACCATTGAATCTGACGGACGACGAAGAAGCACAACTTCCCGGGCAAATGTTGTTTTTTTGTTCGAGTTCTTGCCCTTGCTGCTATTAGTATTAGTGTAAGGCTTCAGCTTTCCCTGACTTCCAGATCGGGATCTGGATGTGGGCGAGGGGCCCCAACTAGTTCTTCGCTGAAATTGAGGAAGGCTTTGCTGAAAATTAGAAGTCCCTCTGTGGAACAATGCTTGAAGCTCCTCACGTGGTGTGCGTCTGGCGCTGTTCTGATTTGAAGAACTCGCAACATTCAGTCCAGCCTGCACAGAAGTTGCAGAACCCTCAACAGAACTGACAGAAGGTTCGCAACTTCCATCAGTATGAGATTCACTGCTACTGCTTGAAGTACTTTCATTTACACGCTGACTAGTACTGTTATTAACAGCATCTTGGAAACTGGGATGATTAACAACCTGTCTTACCAAATTTTCCAAATTGTCAGACCGAGCAGTAGGGGCAGTAGGTCTTCGATACGCCATCTTGAAAACATTTCCAGTTTTTCTAGCGAGTGTTTCCCGCCAATTCCGTTAGTATCGCAGAGCATGCGCAGAGGTGACCGCTGACCTTACAAATGGGCGCAGTAGCCGTAAATATTTTTCGTAGCCGTAAATATTTTTTTTGGTAACCGTAAATATTTTTTTTGGTAACCGTAAATATTTATTTGGACGTAAATATTTTACTAATACAATATTGTCATTTTTGGCACCTCATACAAGTGTGGACTTTTTGAGAATTAGCACGCGGCAATCAAGCGTGTTAAATCAATACACTTATTTCAAACCACAATATGTCTGAAACAAGTTGTCATTTTAAGATTAAATTGATGAAAATAGATATAACAGTGATTTTGGAATATCCTACTTATTTAGTGTAATTTAATACTCGAAGTATTCTTGCCAAATAGGGCACGTACACACACAGTAATTTAATCTGGTGTCGTTTGAAACATACTTTAGCTAAAATAACAACTTGAACAAGAAGACCAACAATGGGGTCACGAAAACAGTCGAAATTGTGCCCAAATTTGCATAAACAGTGATAAACATTGATCGCATATTTCTACTCAAAAATAATACCCTTTATAAAAAATCTGCTCACTTGTGTTCTGTATTCATCTTTCTTGTGATTTCCGACTTCTATTTTTAATAAAGTTTGGAGAAATCCCCATCATTTTGGCTGAAAATCTCGCACATGGTTCACAGAAGTACTTGACTCCAAAACGTCACTACATTCACTTTCCTTTCATGCCAAATTTTCGTGGTAGGTCGTTCAAAAACTTCTTTTTTGCTTTTAAACTTGCTGTGAAATCCTTCTTTGCAACAGTGTCGCCATTATTCATTATTTTTGAAAAACTAAAATTTTAAACTTGAAAAACTTTGCGAGTTTCTGACCAATTTTCTTGCATGATACACCATTGAAAAGCTCGAATTTCACATTCTATTTTCGTATCCGTTGCTAGGCAACCCGATAAACACGTGCTCAAATATCATGCCCACAATTTAAGGTGTCATTTTAGGGTGCATACGGGAGCATAGCCCATTACCCACTTGCCAATCTCAGGGCGCATTGCACGTTAATGAGTTAAGTTCCTCCTTTGACTTATCAAGCACATTGTGTATATCTTCTAAGGTTTCAAGCATGCTTATTTGATTTTCCGTATTTCATATGCCTTTTGTGTAAGGTTTGACAAATTGCGGTAACAAGTTTGACGTTTTTGGCTCAAAATCTCTAATTGATAAGCCTTTCTCCTTTCTGTGGGTTTCCTCAATCTTGTGCCAATTCGCTGATCAGGAATTAAGCAGTATTCTGATTTTCTGATGACGTATCTTGCTGGTTTTCCTGTTTTTTGCAAACGTTTTCTAATCCTGTGCCAACTTCTCCACATGGTTGGCAAACTAAATCATTATTTTCATCAGTAGAAACAATGTTCAAAATTTGTCAATCAAAATTTCGACCTTTTGGTTTGTAGAGATTAGACAAACTCATCAATTGGTGTTATTTTACTGTAATGGTCGCTGTGCAAGCTCGATAATTTGAAACGACGATTCGAAGAAACAAAATGCGAGGATATATTTTACTGGCAACTTTAATATTCTTACACCATAACGACGTAAATGTTCAATGGAAATTCAAATCTTGAATGGTTACACAAATAGTTGTCTAAGACATCTAAGTCGTAAGTTGTCATAAACTGAAATACAAATATATGAAAATACTTAAGTTTATGCACTACATTTCGAACATTCCATAGGCAAAAATAATTCCCTAAGAGAAATTATATGTTAACAAATATGTTTTAAACGAAGTATACGATAAATCTATATAAAACTAATCCACATAAAAAGCGCAAACATGCATTATGTATGTTGCATGCACATGCAAAACAAGTAGAAAACAGAAAAAATGGAAACTACTAAAACAAAAAATGGAAACTACTAAACTAAGTAACAATTGTAAAAGATAAACTTACATAACAGTCGCACTTTGTCAAGGTGATTGATGCACAAACCAGCTGGAATGACTACGAAAACTGTTTTGAAACTTTACGAAATATAACTACTAAGTTTTCTCGACAAATGCACATGACCAACTGCCGAAAAACAAGATTTGTGCAAAACTTTACCGGTCCCAAATCAGAACTAGTTACTTAACCACTAATTGACTAAAAGGTTCCTGTTATTGTTCAATCGACCTGAAAGCCGCTACACATGGTATCTGTCTCTGATTTCGGTATTAAGGGGATCACAGTGTTTTTGGTTTGCAAGTTTTCTCAATGAATGTTGTTGGAGTCGACATTCTTTATCGAACCTTTTCTTATTACAGACGTTGGAAATTCTGTTTCTGTATTTCTTCTTTTTGATTTTCATGGACTTTTTAGCAGCATGCATAACTAAATCTTCTACTTTTGAGGCAAATCTGTCAACACCTTACTTTGAAGGAGATGGAGTTGATCAAGTATTGAAGTTTTGGTTGAGTTTGAGATGATTTGAGATTTTCTGCATAGCCAGAAATATGCTACATTTGCGACTGCAAGGCAGACACACTTTGGTCAGCATGTCAAGTGGTG